TCTGTTGATCAGAATGAAAAATGAAACAGGTTGTGTCTGTGGCTGCAAGAGCTCTGGCATGATGCACCTTGGACTCTTAACAAATATTTGTTTGGGGAATTTTATGAGGATGGAGAAAAACAGCGGGATGGTTATGTTTATAATTGCACTGGCGAATGGATCACCAGGCAGTTGTAGTACAATGAGATTTTAAATGCTCTATTTCAACAACGGAATAGTGAGAGCTAATATAGACATTTAAATAAAACTAATCCATAGATGTAACTGAAATAAAATGTATGCTATATTTTGGGATTGCATTTCTTTTTTGTTTGTTTTTATGCTTTAAGTTTTGGAGTACATGTGCAGAATGTGCAATTTTGTTACACAGGTATACATGTGCCATGGCGGTTTGCTGCACCCATCAACTCATCACCTACGTTAGGTATTTCTCCTAATGCGATCCCTCCTCTAGCCCCTCCACCGCTCAACAGCCCCTGATGTGTGCTGTTCCCCTCCCTGTGTCCATGTGTTCTCATTGTTCAACTCCCATTTATGAGTGAGAACATGCGGTATTTGATTTTCCTTTCTTGTGTGTGTTTACTGAGAATGACAGTTTTCAGCTTCATCCATGTCCCTGCAAAGGGCATGAACTCATCCGCTTTTATGGCTACATAGCATTCTATGGTGTATATGTGCCACATTTTCTTTATCTAGTCTATGATTGATGGACATTTGAGTTGGTTCCAAGTCTTTGCTATTGTGAATCGTGTTGCTGAGACATATGCCTTGATATGCCACCATGGCACGTGTATTCCTATGTAACAAAACTGCATGTTCTGCACATGTACCCAAGAACTTAAGGTGTAATTTTTAAAAAGAAAAAAAAAATGCAATTAAAAAAGATTTAACTTTTCATTAATTTTTATAAATCATTTACATTATACAAATGACAAGGGATGAGCAAAGAAACTTAACAGCAACTAAAAGACATTAATCTGTATTAGGATGTGGAGAAAAAGATCAGGGCTGAAGCAACAATGACATAACCGTTCTCTGCATAGTCTCCTTCTCTCACCTGTACAGAGAAGGGAGAAAGGGGAGGGCCAGACTAGTGCAAGATGTCCCTAGAGTTGCTTCCTGAATCCCAGGAGTGGGGACACAACTACCCTGAAGATCTCTGACCTTCTGCCACTATTATGAAGTGGAAATTGTTCATTTTAATGTCATCCTCCTTGTGTGTTCCTAAGTTCACTGAAGTCTTGGCATGAGAATCAGATGCACTTGGGATGAAGGAAAGGGTGGTAATCACGGGCCTGACAAACCGGGGGAGAGAGCCGGATGCTGAGTATCCTCTGCACACTGAGAAGTCACAGGCACAGTCACATTCCACTGTAGGAAAGACTGTTTGCTCAACATTTCTGGAGCCACGATGACCCGCATCCTCTGAATCTCAGAAGGAACGAACCGTTCAGAGACAGGCTCGAACGAGCATTTGGATGGAAGGTGACCTCACTGACTCCTGGAGCTGCTCAGTGGAGCTGGGGTTCGGGCATGCTGGGCCAACCAGCTGATGAGAAGCTCTCAGACCACACAGATCTCTAAGTCAGGCCTAGGCCATGGGTTGGAAATATGATATGGTTTGAATATCCCCTCCAAAACTCATGGTAAAATTTAATTGTCATTGTAAAAGTAGTTAGAGGTACCTTTAAGAGGTGATTAGGTCATGAGGGTTCCACCATCTTTCTCGTAAGAATATATCTAGAACTTTGCTAGACCTTTTTATTCCACAAGGGCGTCTAAAATGCCAATCCATGGAACAGGTGCTTCTCTTCTCCTATCCATCTAGGCAGTAGTTTTCATGGATTTCTGGCTGGATGTCACAGACAAAGGCCAAGAGGTTGTTCAAGACTTCTTCCCTGTTCTGCTGGAAGTAGGTCTGGAGGATGGCCATTTTATTCTGGGTCTCCTTATCCACTTCAGTGCTGCAAGTGCCGTGAGATCCCATTGCTGCAGCTTCCTTAGCCTTGAACCCTCTTTCTCCGCGGGTAGCACTGTTCAATTTCAGCCTGAAGTGCTTCCTTGGCCTGCTTCAGCCTCTTGTTGTTTTGCTTGTGGGCCTCCGACACCTTCTCAGTAGCCCTCTTCTCAGCCTTCAGCAGCTGCTAGATCTGCAACTGACTGGCCATGGCGACAGTGAATCTGAGATCAAGGCAAGTGGCCTAAATCAGTTCAAAGGACCCTGGGGTTAGCCGACCCATCCAACCACAGTCTGCACCTGCACCCTGCCGCCTCTCATTTCTTGCAAGTAAGTCACCACCACAGAGACAAAATGTTAGAAGTTATAGCACAAAGTGAGCACATGAGTATTTTAAAAACCTTTTAAAATATCTTATAAGTTTTTACACAGTACATAATACATTCATATGTCACATATTAACAGATCTATTTGGACAGTCAGATTTCTTTCAGATTAAAGATGAAGTTGGCATTTTTTTAGAAGGTATTTTAAACTTATTATGGGAGTTTCTATAGTGTGGAACAATACTATATAAAGCAGTATTTTATGTGTGTCATTAAAAAGTCAAATAAGAAACTAGATCCAGCTGAGAAAAAAACTGACTTCATTTACTTTTGTTTTATTTATATCTGACACAGATTATAAATGATTTGCTGTGTCTTGCAGATACCCTTAACTGAGAAAAACAGATATTTGTAGATATACATTACAATTTAGGTTACCTTTGTATACTCACATTTATTTAAAAAGGAATTAGTAAGAGGAGCCTGTTAAATGTTGGCAAATCTAAGAGTGCTCAATTTGTTCATCCTAGCACTCACAGAACTTAACTCTGGTACCCATTAGACGCAAAGAATCTTGAATTTTAAATGATT